GACGGTGATCCGGATGGTGTCTATCGCTGTCGCGACTTATACGCTTTGGCGATTGATGTCTCTCTCCCCCCTTCTGCGATGAAGTGGCACTGAGAGAGCAAGACAGATCTGGACTAGATCGACAATGCGAACTAGGAGCAAAAGACTCAAAAACATTGTCTGAATCTGCGCAAGATGTAGATTCAAGTAATTTCGCGTCATTGTTCTGTGATTCTAAAGTTATAATTTTTTTATGTAATGAAGCGTATTGGCGCTGTATTAAATTTATTAATTTCATTTTTATTTTATTATTTTTCATTTTATGGTTTCAATTTGTAATTTCTTGATTCTAAATTTTTCACCGTTGTATAGCTAGTTTTAACCAGTGAGTTTGACTGTGTAAACGAGTTTTGCGCGTTTGCAGCAGTCTGTACACTTGGTGTACTGCTGGAGGGGGTTGCCATTTCCGAATTTGAAAAAAGGGTGGGAGGGAGGGTTACGAGTTTGTCGGTATAGCTTTGGCTATCGCTGATAATTGAGCTACTCGATGGTTCCCCATGAAATTTTTGCATTTTAAATTGCATAAATTCCGCTTTCAAGATGGAAGTTTGGCGCTTAAAATTTTCCTTCAAATCTTGAATCATTTCGCGATTGCAGCTATTTATTTCTTGTAAATTTTCAATTTTTAATTCTAATGAATTTCTTAAGTCAGTTAATAAACAATTTTGTTCATTAAATTTTTTCATCACTTGGCAAAGTGCTTGTTTCATTTTGTTTACAAAATAAAATTTTTAATTAATTTTCAGTCAATTTATTTCGATATAAAATGTTTTAATTTGAGTATTTCTAAAGGTGGTCTAACTGAGATCAAGCAAAGTTTGTGTTTACGTTTTTTTTCAAAAGACTCGGTATGTTAACGTCGAGCGATCGAACAAGAGATAATGCTTTCGACGAGTGATTATGTCAGAAATAAATTTAATTTGAATATATTTTTAAAGAATATTTCTAATGGAAAATTTTGAAATATTAAGCGTTAGTATCCCTCATGGTGCTTAAAATAAAATAAAATTTATTTTCTAAATTTTTTCAATTATTACACAGAACGTAGAAAAGATAAAATTGATAATTAATTCTTTTTGAAAATAATAATAATAATAATGACGCGTTTTGTTAGTCGGTACAGTGAGAGAGAAGCGAGCACATGTTTGCAATATAATATAATTTATAATAATATCGCGTAATGGATTTCTGGAATTCTTGTTCAAAAATTTTGTGTTTATTTAGACGCGGTGAAAATAAAATTTTGTTACATTCTGAGAAAATTTTACTTAGGATGAGTCGCCATTTTATTGCGTCGGGAATAGAAAGAAAAGCGTCACTCTAAAGGAAAGGACCTGTGCGATACGCCATTTTGAGGCTTCGCGATGGAAATTTCCCAAGAAGAAAGCGCGATTATTTTAACACAAAAAAGTTAAAAATTTGCTAAAAATGTGGCGAAGCACAATTTCAGCTAAAAAAAGGACAGGCAGTTTCAAATAAAAAAAATCCGCTTCCGTTCACGCACAAAAATGTGGCAACACAATTTCGGCTAGGAGAACAGAATAATTTCGAGTCTAAAAAAGTCTGTCCCTGTTCGGGCGCCAAAAATGTGGCGAACTTCGCGAGACTTTGATTTTAAATAATAATTTAAAGAATAAGGGTTCAGCTCACGACAGTCGACACAATGTATTTGAAGAAAACTCCTGAAATCCATGTGATTTAAAGAAAGATTCGACCAGCGGCGAAATCCATTGAGCGGTTGCGAATAAGAATATTATTGAGACAAGTTACTAGGTAAGAAGAACAAGGATTGATCGAACTTACCAATTCGCAGATCGCTGTTTCGCTGGTGAATTATGATTCCTTTATTATTGATCCATCGTTAAAAGGCACACAAATTAATAAAGAGCAAACAATTAAGAAAACTGAATAATTTAATGATAGTAAAATGTGTTATACATTGAAAGAAAGAAAAGAGTGCGTCGCAGCGCATAAATTGAATTCGCGTTAATAATGAGACTCATATATCTCTTAGAAGTTTTGCTTCTCGCTAGAAGTCTCGCTTCTCTCTGATTTTTGAAATCGACCGCGATCATAATCGCAACCTTTGAGACCCTTCGTGTGGGGTCCGATGACACCCGAATTTTTCATTCGTTCAACGACCACTGGTCGCGGTAGCTATCAGGCTAGCGCCTGGCGCGATGTATTATCAGATGAGAAAAACCACCAGGAACGGCATATTTATCCCAAAAGAAAGAAAACGATTTCGATCGTTACAGTTTATTATCAGTAGAATTAACTTTTTCATCCTCTCTCCTATACTGAGGCTTATTTTATGCCCCAACGATTTTGTACCTAACAGAGAAAATTTCTAACCGACGGGAATTGAACCTTTGACCCTAACGCTCGCAATCCAATACTTTAACCGACTAACCAAGCACGCTCGCTACGACAGTATGCGACTTTCTGCTTGTCCAATTGGTAATTTAACTATATAAAGTAGTCATTTTTACTACTTTTTTTAGTTGCTATAACTATCTTTTTTAAGTTTTGACTTCTAAATTTTTCATCTTTTAATTATATCATAAGTAGTAGTTTTAATCACAAAGGATTTGTTAATTCTACAACAAAAATGTTCTTAAAGCCTATTGTACCACTTTGAGTAGTAAAATCTACTACTTAAAGTAGTAGTTTTAACTGGAAACGATTTTAAATTCTGCATCAAAAATGTTCAAGTTTATCGAATTAATTAAAATAGTAAAAATCTACTACTTAAAGTAGTAGTTTTAATTACAGACGACTTGTTAATTCTACAACAAGAATTTTATTGAAGCTTATAAAATCATAGAAATTAATAAAAAATTTACTACTCAAAAAGCAGTTATATTACTTAAAGAAAATAATTCCTTTTACTACTTTTCATATAACTGGTGAATAGTAGTTGGATTTACTACTCTTCAAATTTTGAGTTGACTACAATTCCACTTGTTTTTATTACCTTAAGAAAGTCAATTTTACTACCGACCTGTAGTTGTACTTTAACTACATATTTACGTAAAATCAACTATTACTTTTTAACTTCTTAAAAATAGTTACATTAACTACATCAACATGATTCGATTAACTAAAAAAGTAGTTATTTTAACTACTTTCTAGTCAACTACCTAATGGTAGTTTGTTTAACAAATAAGAGTTTTGCTTTCTTTAAAAAAAATACAGTAGAAATTTAAAGAAAAGAAAAAAAGAGTGCTGCTAAAAATTGCGTCTCAATTGATTTTATCGACAAATGTTGATAATAAACTGTCGAGTAAACTGTAATAGATTGAAATTAATAAAAACATTAAATTTTTATAATTATTTAACAATAATCATCTTAAAATGCATAAAACTTATTGATTTTAATAATTATATTATTAATTTCATCATTTTTTATACATTTTAGACAGAATTTCAATCTCAATTTTGGTGTTCGCATCATACAATCCGCCAGGGATCGTAGAGACATCGTGTTGTGTTTGAAGAATTGTTCTTAAAAATGAACAAGTCGTGCTTAGAAATCGTGCTTTCATTACGTGAAATGTTTTTAGTAAAAGAATATTTTAAGTGTAGACCATTTAAAGTCATTTTACGAAACCTAACCTCACTTTCTTTGGCACATTGTACATATTAAAGGTACATATTCTACGGAAAAAAATAAGACAAAAAGCCCTCTACCAATTTTCAAAATTTTTTATAGTTTTTGCGTAAATTGCAATTGAAAATTTAAAAATTACGCGTGGTAATTGGCTGCGCGAGGTCAGTGGGCGGGGCATTTCGCGCCGGAACTTTCCTGATTTTCCAGGCGTCGGACAAAATATATAATCAATTTTTATTTTTTCATGTTTAATCTTTATTTATATAACAAATTATGTTATTTTAATAAATTTTGAAGAATATTAATATTAATTCGAATGTAACAATAATATAAAATATAAGAGAAAAATTTTCTTCTTTTTTACCTGTTTACGAGGTTAAAAAAAAGACGAGGTTACGAATTCCAAAAAAACAAAGGAATATTACATAGCATTGAGAGTGGCTTTTTTCCCACAGGTATTTGTCTTTTTTACACCCAGAGGCATTTTTACAAAAGCTATAATAAATCTCAAAATTAAATCAATTTAAATAAATCCACATTAAACACTTTTTAAGAATAGTCTTCTCTTTATGTACAAACATTTACTTTTATTTTTCACCCACTTAAACGAGTTGTTCGGAAAGTTAACCAAAATTTTGTGTCTAGAAGATCTCAAGACTAAATTTTTTTTATTTGTTTGTAGAACTACAAAAGTTAATGGAAAATTGAAAACAGAAATTAAAGTAAACGCTGATTAAACCATTATCTTTTAATATTAACTATGACGAGATCATCCAGAATATTCTTCTTGACTATTAAAAGCTACTTGTGAATACTGAAAATAACAGACTTCATGTCTAAAAAAACAATGATTTAATCAGCGTTTAATTTAATTTCTGTTTTCAATTTTCCATTAACTTTTATAGTTTGACAAACAAATAAATAATTATTACTTGTAAAACATAAATTTAATTTGATCATTAACTTTTATTAAAAATACTGCTAGGTGAAAAAATAAAATTATGTTCGAATACCAATTTGTCTAAAAAGTATAGTATCTTGAGCAAACAATAATTTTAAAAAATCAACTTCTCATAAAATTTACTCAATTAATTTTTCTTCCTTTTGGTTTTAATTACTCAAAAAAATAATATCGTAATTAAATTTACAAAAAAAATTTGAAAAGCTCAGACTTTTGGGTGAAAGTTATTGCTGAGTAGCAGTGATTTTATCATAAAAAATACAAAAACTCAATTTTCTTAAAAATGTGTTTAACGATTTTTTTATTTTTGGACTTAAATTACTAATAGTAATATAAGGATTTTTAAAAATGAATTTCATTGATTAAGACTGATAAAATATTGCATACCCCAAAGTTTTGCCCCGAACTACTTCTGCTTGAGATGAAAGGACTTCTGCTATCATGTCATCATTGAAAAAGTCATTAGTACATCTCCACCTTCTCCCATAAGTCAGCTCCAATTGCTTAGCCTGGGGCCAAAGATCTTGAGAACGTTTTTTTCCTTGTCTGTGCTATTAATTAATTCCTAGAATTATTATAACTCGTTTCGAATGAAATCATGGGTATTATAATGAAAATATAACACCGGTCGACAGAATTTTTTTTAGATATCAGAGTAGTTTCCAATGTATTATTGTGTGCTGAACACGATCATGAGTTCAAAAATTGCGTATCATGTCAGGATTTTGAGTAAAGTGGGGTAATGTCTCTAAAAATCGTGTTTTTGAGGGTTTTCAGTATTCTTAGGGTTCCGTTCATGCAGTAAACCGAAACGGAACCATTATTATGGTTTCACTCATGTCCGTCCACAAAATCATGTCCCCCTCCTCTAAAACCTAGCCATTTCAACCGATTGAGCTCAAACTTGGTATTTTCGCGAGTACATTAAACGAAAATTATAGCGAATCTGATTGGAATTGAATTGAATATAGTTATATTCGAGAAACTCGAAATTTCTGAAAATAGCGTGCCCCCCCCGTCCTAACTTTTACAGTTTTGGAGCTACGAAGCTGAAACTTAATACACATTTAATTTCACGTGTAGATTTCACGAAAAATATAGCTAACCCTTTTGAAATTGATTTAAATATTACTTCGCTACAAAAACTCAAAATTCCTTTTTATCTTAACTTTAACAATTTTTTAGCCAACCATCTCAAACTTTGTACATATATGAGAGATTCTTTTTCAATCGCCCCAGCCCAAAAAGTCAATGTTCTGGGATTGGCTTCATACTTTGGTAAATTGTTGTCCTATATGATAGTAATAAATCCCTAAAATATAAACTCATTAAAAAAATATTTGTAGAAAGTAGAGGGGGTTGAAGTTTTGACGTTAAGGGTAACATTGTCATTTTCAAATCCGTATAACTATGACAAAAGTTAATGGATTTTAATTTATCCATAATGGATTTTAATGCATTTTTCACGTACTTTTCAAAAATGTATACACAATTTAAAAAAAAAATTTTTTGACCCCTTTTTTTTCAAAATCAACCCTTATTTTTCGATTTTCACCCCTTCGGGTATTTTTTTTTTTTTTTTATTATTTTCATTGGAAAGCTGAGGTTTTTTCCCATGAGCTATGTAAATATGAAAATGGGACAACAATAATTTTGTGAGAAACAGAATATTAATGTAGGCGGTGCCGATAACGGGTATACCTGAAGATCATCTTCGAGGATTTAGGTAGGCACCGCCTGCTTTAATATTCTGTTTCTCACAAAATTATTGTTATCCCATTTTTATATTTACATAGCTCATGGGAAAAAACCTCAGCTTTCCAATGAAAATAATAAAAAAATAAAAAAAAAAATTCCCGAAGGGGTGAAAATCGAAAAATAAGGGTTGATTTTGAAAAAATAGGGGTCAAAAAATTTTTTTTTAAATTTTGTATACATTTTTGAAAAGTACGTGAAAAATGCATTAAAATTCATTATAGATAAATTAAAATCCATTAACTTTTGTCATAGTTATACGGATTTGAAAATGACAATGTTACCCTTAACTGCACCCTTATCGGCACCGCCTACATTAATATTCTGTTTCTCACAAAATTATTGTTGTCCCATTTTCATATTTACATAGCTCATGGGAAAAAACCTCAGCTTTCCAATGAAAATAATAATAAAAAAAAAAAAAATACCCGAAGGGGTGAAAATCGAAAAATAAGGGTTGATTTTGAAAAAAAAGGGGTCAAAAAATTTTTTTTTTAAATTGTGTATACATTTTTGAAAAGTACGTGAAAAATGCATTAAAATCCATTATGGATAAATTAAAATCCATTAACTTTTGTCATAGTTATACGGATTTGAAAATGACAATGTTACCCTTAACGTCAAAACTTCAACCCCCTCTACTTTCTACAAATATTTTTTTAATGAGTTTATATTTTAGGGATTTATTACTATCATATAGGACAACAATTTACCAAAGTATGAAGCCAATCCCAGAACATTGACTTTTTGGGCTGGGGCGATTGAAAAAGAATCTCTCATATATGTACCTATTTACAAGCAAATTGAAAGAAAATTAAAGGAAAATTATTTTTGTTAATCATATATAAATATTGAAATAAGGGGAAGATAATAAGGGAATTAACCCCAATAAACTTTTTTTTTATCTTGAGCATATAGGTCTTAAAATGTACATTTTAAGCTTTAATTTAAGCCTATATGGAAGTCTCCAGCACGTCAAGTTATGGAGAAAAAAAATACTGAAAACCCTCAAAAACACTGTTTTTAAAGACTATACCCCCATTTAACTCAAAATCCTGACGTGATACGCAATTCTGGAACTCATGATCGTGTTCAACACACAATATTACATTGGAAACCACTCCGACACCTAAAAAGAAGTTTTATTTTGTAGACCTATGTAATTTAAAATACCAGGAGGTTTTAGTGTATATCAACGTGCAATTTATAGTTTTCCATTTAAAAGACCACTCCTCACATACTTATGGGAGATTAATCACCTATAAAACTTAGGACACTAAATAAAAATCATGTTTCATCTGACGGATATTAATTATTATTTCTCAAAATTACAATAAAAGGATAATTGAGGAGTAGACTGTGATGTAAAGTTGAAAAAAGTGTAATATCTAACTGTATAAACAAGAAAGTGCAGAAAGTATAAGTATGAACTGGTAAATGGGAATAATAATGTGAATTTTGATTAAGTTTTAGGTATCAATGTTTATTCATAGCATTTTAATGCATCATAAAACAAAATTCGAACTGTTAATACATTTTAATACTGTTTGAAGCTGAATAATTTTGTAAATGTTATTGCATAGCGCCCCAAAAGAGTAAATTTTAAATGATGGATCTCACATAGTATAGTGAACATAGTTTTCAAAGATTGATAATTTATTTTTGAAAATATTTACTTAGAGGATTTTTAAGTTGCTGATTACAAATCTAAAATCACATTTTGAAAATTCAGAATGCTACATTCAGTATGGCGGAAAATTTTTTAAAATTGATTTTAGAATTTTATGATACTTGATATTTACGGCCAACTGGGGATATTATACTTAGCGCAAGATTTAATTCATAAAATATTTATATTGAATTGTTTAAACTTGATTTGACATTAACTCAAAAAAGTAATTTTCATTACTATTTGAATGTTTTTCAAGTTAATTTTGTAACTTTTTCTCTTAAAATAACTTAAAATGCTTGTTTGAAATTATATTGACCCAGTTAGCAAAGGGACGTCTTAAAAACGTCTAAAAGAAGTCTCACCTTGTCTGCGGACATTCAGGGACAATGATAGTTAAGTCTAGGAGACATTATAAAGACAACTAAAAGACGTCCATAAGAGATTCTATGTCTGGTCCAAAAAACGTATTAAAGACGTCTCCTGAACATCAAAAAGACATTAAAAAATCTACAATACAAAAAATATTTTTTGTAAAATAATTCATTAAAAATAATACAATTTAATTAACATAAATGATAATTATTATTATAAATATTTATTATTAATAATAGTTTAAATATTCTAAATAACATTAACTATTAAACGTAAAAATGGGAGTAATAAGCTTACAAGGATGAAATTTGCAATGGAAAGCGTGCAATAGCATTTTGTAAAAAAAAGTAAAATTTTAACTCCGGATGAGTATTTTGCCAGTATTATTCCAGTACTACGTTAGTACTGGTGAGCGGGACAAAATCAGTACTGGACAGCGTTACCAGCCAGGGTTGGCCCACTACTGACCCAATACGGCAGTCAGTACTGTTATACTGACTGGCAGTGTTGAGTCAGTACTATGGAAGTGTCAGATTTCTACTTGGGGTGTTTCAAATTAGCAGCAAAAATATTTTCTATCCCTCAAACGACTTTGAAAAGAAAGGTGAAGATACAACCTTTGCGAAGTTTCCAAGCAATAATAGATTGATTTTTGTGTAAATCCCAGCTTGCATCTTAGGGTATCGCATCTTACCCTCAACGGAGGGGAAGATGGAGATATATTTGACTTTTCTACGTTTTGTTAATTTATAAGTATTTAATTACGTAACAAATATTCCTAATAAGACTGCGCAATGGAAGACTGATTCCCAAAGATGATTATTGTAATACGTAATAAAGTATAGTTATAATAATGTTAGTTTTATTGTGCTTCAAATGTTAAGTCTTGACCCTCTTTCTCCTAAAGACTCCAACAATATTTTGAAAATATTTCACATAAAGTTAACAGTTTTTTTGACACATGACATTACTAGTTATGTATTTTCTAACATGTTCAACAATCATAGAATCCTAGAAAATTAAAAACTGCTGTGGAGCTGTACAGGACATATAAATTGAATTTGACTTGTGCGCATCATTTAAAAAAGAAATTCACAAAATATTTTAGAGAAATATTTTTTCAAGATATAATAATATATGTATAATATTTCCTCACAAGCTGACATTTCTCTGGTTGCAGCAATATTTCAACGATTTTGCACTACAAAATTTCAATGAAATATTTTAATAAAATTTAGGAAATATGTGCTGTATGGGACGAGAAATTATTATAAAGTTTAATTGTTTATTAAATAAACAATTTATTTTGGATAAACAATAGTCATTTGTTAAGTTTTGCATATTACTTAATAAAGGCAGTATTTTTCTATGTGCATACCAAATTTTAAGAAATTTTATCAAGTTGAATTAAAATAATCGCGATTTTTGTAAATAGCTTCTCAAAACTTAAATAGTTTGTAACAAATTTAAAAAATTAAAATTTTTAAAAACGCTTTTAGAAGTGTTTTTATTTTACATTTTTCTTTAAAATTACATAAAACAATTTGTAAAAATCGCAAAGTTGGTTTTAAGAGGCGCAGTTGAGAAATTTTGAATCTACGCCTAAAGCTTACAGGATACCTTCAGACGGATGTCCACAAAATAACGCAAGAGTTTAAAGTTTGTTGTTGTTTAAATTCGGAATTTTTGTGATACACTAAGTAAAAACTAGCGTTTTTTAGTACAATAGGCCCGGTTGACAGTATTAGTTTTTGGGGTCTCTGACTTAAGATTTTTTTTTAAGTTCGTTGGTTAATAGTTATGAAGTAAAATTTGAAGTTTATTTATACTATTTTCTAAATTCTTATACCGATAGTTTTTGTGCTTCATTTCCTGTCTATCGAAATAACGAGATCAGAGTAAGCGCATTGACTTGATTGTTGAGCTTGAAGCTGCATTTCTTACTCTTACATCTGAATTACTTTCTTAATAATTTAGGAGACAGTAAGGAACAAGAAGAACGATTACAATAAGACCTTAAAAAATGGAACGCCGTTATCACGGTAGATGGGACGTAAATATGATGGCTGACTACTTTATCCGCTGTTTCGAATTTTGAAAATCTGACTTCAGATTCGTAATCAGCAATATGAAAGGTATTAATATTCTTTCAAACTCTATAACATAAGCATGCTTTTACAGAAGAAAAAACATTTTTTTAAATGATTTGGATATTAAGTTGATATTTTGAACATATTTTTGAATAAAAAAATGGAATTATATACTTGTTTTCAGATAATAACAGAATGCTCATTAACAAGTTTTTGCATAACAATAGGATGATATTTCCAAAGAGAGAATAACAGGTTTAATTGAGGTAACAGGATTATTTAATAATAGGGACAATTTAATACCTTTAATTCCTCTATCAATTGCTCTTTAGGATTCTTATTTGGATCAGGTTCATAGTCTCCTATATTAGAGCCTACAAGTACAAAATATGTCATTCCAAAACATTTAAAAATACTAAAAATTTCACTGTAATTACGAAAAATAGCGTCATAAGAACTCATCCCAATGGGAAACTGCCACGAGTAACCTTTGGCGTATTAATTGGCCCAATGATGGGAGCCAATGAAAAAACCATTGGCACCCAATAATGGACCATTATTGGTAAAGTCATGGGCTGTCCACGCCGATGCCAATGATTGGCAACCATCATTGGCAAATTATTGGCAACCAATAATTAGCCAATATTAAAAATTTTAATAATAATTTAAAAAATCAATAATTTAAAAAAATATTTTATTTTTATTATTTTTTAATAGTAATTATTATTATTATTTTATTTTTAATAATTAAATTAAAATAAAAAAAGGGTCATCAAAGTATTAGTGAAACCATTTCTTCCAAAAAAGAGTTTGTCTCAAATCCAATAAATAGGAGAGACATCGAGCAGAAAAAAATTTCGACAAGAAAAAAATTTTCGATCACTGCTTATATACCAATCTAATGGCACCTCAACTGCGAGAAACAGTTATGATGTTCGCCCTCCCTGTGGCGTTGAGCGAACTAAAGTTAAGAGCTAAGCCATCAGCGCAGCGCGGGAACATTTGAAAAATTTGATTTTATTAGATATTTTATTTTATTTTAAATATGACAAATAATTAACTTAATAAATAATTAATATCATAAATAATTATTAATAACATAATGTTATACTTAATAATTCGTTAATTATAAAATAAAATATCTAATAAAATCAAATTTTTCAAATGTTCCCGCGCTGCGCTGATGGCTCAGCTCTGGACTTTAGTTCGCTCAACGCCACAGGGAGGGCGAACATCATAACTGTTTCTCGCAGTTGAGGTGCCATTAGATTGGTATATAAGCAGTGATCGAAAATTTTTTTCTTGTCGAAATTTTTTTCTGCTCGATGTCTCTCCTATTTATTGGATTTGAGACAAACTCTTTTTTGGAAGAAATGGTTTCACTAATACTTTGATGACCCTTTTTTTATTTTAATTTAATTATTAAAAATAAAATAATAATAATAAATACTATTAAAAAATAATAAAAATAAAATATTTTTTTTAAATTATTGATTTTTTAAATTATTATTAAAATTTTTAATATTGGCTAATTATTGGTTGCCAATAATTTGCCAATGATGGTTGCCAATCATTGGCATCGGCGTGGACAGCCCATGACTTTACCAATAATGGTCCATTATTGGGTGCCATTATTGAAATTATATTGGCATCCCTGGCTCCCATTATTGGGCCATTAATACGCCAATGGTATTTTTCCCATTGGGATAGTATATTTTACAAAAATTAAAATTAGTAAGTCACTTTAAAAAAAACGCTAATTAATTTCTGCTTTCGTTACTAATATCATACAAGCAATTTGACGTTACACTTAAGTACAGCCTACTGGTCTTAAATCTCAACCAAAATAAAAAAAAAAATTTTATCGTTAAAATACACAATTACGCTTTGCGTGACGAAGAGAAAATAAAAAAAATTTTTGAAAATTTGGGACCATTTTGAAAAAATTAATTTTTTTATAAATAATTTATAAAGAAAATAGTTTAAAAAATTTTTTAAAAAAAGCACCTCGTCATGAGTTAAAGTCAGTGAGTTAAAGAAGATTTCTGGTAAATTTGATGAAGATCGGTTAAAAATTGTCCGATCTGCATCGCACGGCGCTTGAAATAACACGATTTGAGAACAAAGCGTTTGAAGTTTACAATATAAAATATTAGTGTTTTAACAATTGCCTTGAAAACGTTATGTGTTCGAAAATAACTATTGCACTAAAACCAAGATTTATTATCACTTGCTAATAGTGCTTGCTACTGACAATTATTAAAATTATATTGACAAGTATGAATACTAGGGTGGTCCTTATTTTTAAAATTTTCGAATTTTTATCATTCCCGGACAAAATTTTGTTCAAAATGAAAAAAAGAGATACGTATTTTTTTATTTTGATTTTAATAAATATTTAATTGTGTCTCAAAACACTTGAATTTTTCCATGTATTTTAAATGGGAAGAAAACCCTTTTTCGTAAATTTGCTATAAAACCGTTGAAAATGAAAATTTTTAATCGGATATTTTTATTTCCCTTCTCAAAGACACAAAGAATGACATTAAAAAAAATTGTTTATAAAATTTTTATTCTTTATTATTGTTTAATCCCTTCACTGTCTGAGAAAAATGCAGCAAAAAAAAATGCCCAGCATAACCAGTGCAACGAATTTTCATGAAACTTAATATAGAAGGGTTTTTGGGGTCGCTGATTATGAATATGACTTTATGTTTGCAAAATTCTAAATGGCAGATCCAAAATGGCGGACATAATTTTTTTAAATGTATCAGATTTGCTTGAAAATTGTTACTCGGAGTTTTTAGGGTCGTTGATTATGAATCTGTCATTAGTTTTTCGAAATTCAAAATGGCTGATATAATGGAGCGGATTTTTTTTAAATTGATCCGATTTGCTTGAAAAAAGTTATATGGGGGTTTTTGGGGTCGCTGATTACGAATCCAACATTAGTTTTCCGAAATTCAAAATGGCGGATCCAAAATGGTGGACATATTTTTTTAAATTCATCTAATTTGACTAAATTGAGTGCTTGGATACAATAAGGGGACGTACGCTCGGCGAGTCACTTGAAAGCCAGTCAGAGGTACCAAAAAGTGTAAAAAATGAAAATTCGAAATTTAAAATTTTGAAAAATACCACCTTATAGTGAATAAAAATGCGCATCTTTTTTTCCTTTAAGATTGTTTTGCATAATGAATATTTTGGATAATAATGACAAAAATGTCATAAATTTTAATTCCCAAAATTCATTGAATTTTTAAACATAAATTGTCGTATCTTCGACAAAAATTGGAGAATTCTCTTGATATTTGGTATACAAATGCATTTGGGTCTATAGAAGACGACAATATTATGAGAATGTTAAAAATAATTAATTGTTTAACAATTTTTTACTGTTAATATTGACCCTGTCGGAAAATATGTTTCCTATCTTTGGCTGCAAAAAGTATGCGGGGAAGTTTCAAATTTTAACAACTTCCAGTGAGACATTTGTTCATTATAATGTAAAGAAGTTTTCTGGAAAGTTGCAGAAAGATTGCTTTATTATTTACAGAAATACAATAGTTTTTAACAAGTTGCGCGCGCCGTCAACGATCGCAAACGTGGAGTCTTTAAAGACACTTGTAATGTATTAGATACAATGTATTAGAATTTTCTATATATGCTGTAACAACATTTAATGCTATTTTAAATTATGTTAAATCTGGTAAAAACCTTATAATAACTATTAAAATATAATTATTTTAAAAATTACAATTTTTAAAAAATAGTTAATAACATAATATTTCCAGATTTCTGAACAGTAATATTCACGTCTAAAAACGTTTTAAAATTATTTGTAATATTTCAATTTGCACATATATCACATTTTATACTATTATTAAAAAAGTATAAATGTTGTATATTATATAATAATAATATTATATAATAATAAAATTATATATAATATTATATACATATATATAAAACTTTGCCAAGCAAGTGTCTTTAAAGACTCCACGTTTGCGATCGTTGACGGCGCGCGCAACTTGTTAAAAAATATTGTATTTCTGTAAATAAAAAAGCAATCTTTCTGCAACTTTACAGAAAACTTCTTTACATTATAATGAACAAATGTCTCACTGGAAGTTGTTAAAATTTGAAACTTCCCCGCATACTTTTTGCAGCCAAAGATAGGAAACATATTTTCCGACAGGGTCAATATTAACAATAAAAAATTGTTAAACAATTAATTAATTTTAACATTCTCATAATATTGTCGCCTTCTATAGACCCAAATGCATTTGTATACCAAATATCAAGAGAATTCTCCAATTTTTGTCGAAGATACGACAATTTATGTTTAAAAATTCAATGAATTTTGGGAATTAAAATTTATGCCATTTTTGTCATTATTATCCAAAATATTCATTATGCAAAACAATCTTAAAGGAAAAAAAGATGCGCATTTTTATTCACTATAAGGTGGTATTTTTCAAAATTTTAAATTTCGAATTTTCATTTTTTACACTTTTTGGTACCTCTGACTGGCTTTCAAGTGACTCGCCGAGCGTACGTCCCCTTATTGTATCCAAGCACTCAATTCTGGTACTCAGGGATTTTTGGAATCGTTGATGACCTGACCTCAAAATTAAAGAATAAACGGATTAATCAGCTACTTCAAAAACCCCCGAGTAACGAAATTTAGTCAAATCTGATAAATTTAAAAAATTATGTCCGCATTTTGGATCCGCCATTTTGAATTTCAGAAAACTAATGACAGATTCGTAATCAGCGATCCCAAAAACTCTCGTGTAACATTTAGCAAGGAAATATGATAAATTAAAAAAAATATGTCCGCCATTTTAAATTTTGCAAAACTAATGTCATATTCGTGGCATTTTTGGTCATTCATGCTGTATTTTCCTCAAACAGTGATGGGGTTAAACAATAATATAGAATAAAAATTTTATAAACAATTTTTCTTCATACCTCCGTCGAAAGTACGTACTTCCCGCATGGATTTCGCATCAGAAAGTTAAAGATTTATGCATTGGTGAATACACACGGGTCTCCATATATAAACCGATGAGGATCTTATTATCAGAAGGATGCTGGGATGAATGAGTATACAATTAAATTATTAGTTTGACTTCATATGTGACAGTCCCCGAGAGAAGGGACCTTAGCTCACCAAAACGAATTTCACAGGGCAAGCGTTTGAAGAAGAAGCAGAAACGCGGAACTCGAAGAGTGGGGCGGAACTTCTGAAAAGTTCCCCCACCACACTAACACAACGTTGTGTTTCTGTATACGTGAGCTTCGTCTACTTCGTGTATCTTCGGGTCTCACGTACGCGAAGCTCACGTACGCGAGAGTATAGTTGTGTAAG